CTACGTTTATTTTTTTTATATTAATACATTCAGAGTAAGGTTACCCAGTCTCGACATTTTTTTAAGGCATTCCCGGGAATTCTCTGGACTCAAGAAATTTAAAACAGTCGTTTCGTTAAACAATCGGCAAATGAAATAATGACTAACTTTGAACAATAACTCGGGAATTCCCGCTTCAATAACACTAATTCAGATTGAATAGATAAATATATTCAATGTACAACTATGATTTAATTTTTGTATTAAGGTGTTAATATGTAGGATTATATTGTGTGTGCTACCAAATTTATTGAAAGGAACTGATGATGAGTTTAACATTGGCGAAATAAAAGGAACGCACGAATTAAGCGCGTGAAGAAGTAAGACAAATTGCCCAGTATTAATGTAAGTTTAATAGATAACGGCGAGGAATAGCAAGGATGTTGGAAGGAGGCTGAACAAAAAAATATATATATATATTGAGGATGGAACAGTGGAGCAGTAATCAATAATTTGACCTAACAAGAAATGGAAGAAGAAGATGGTCGGAATTGATTCAAATATGATGAGTTTTTGGTGTAAGGGGCGGTCAAGGGATTTCGTGTAAGGGCGATCGGAGCCGTACGACACGTGACCGGTAACAGATAACGCGCACATGGGGCGCATCCCCTAAACAGCCAGAAAATATTACGATCCCCCCAATAAACGATAACTGCTGGCCGTATGCAACAAAACGTACTGGATCCAAAAAGGGGTTGTCGCCTAGCCCCCAACCCCTTGTCTCGTATTTATCAACATTCAATTGAATGCCGCCGAGGGGAAAACCCAAATCAAATATTTACGTACGAGCCAGCCTTCGTGTCAAATATTTATAGTAAAACAAAAATTCCAGATAACAAACTGATTCTCCGGCTTCACACTTCATTTCCCGTTCGTGTTCTTTACACAACTTCTTATTTTTCTCATTCTTTTGGATTTTACTTATTTCACAACATTCTATACAGTCACTACGTTCGCACCAATACTTCTCAATTACACACATGAAATACACATTTTTTTTAATCTAATATAGATGTTATATTACTATAGATTCAATATTAAATATTAGTAAATATACAAAATTTAAAAAAAAACATTAATTTTATGAATTTTATATCGATATTAATAAATGTTTGTTAATTGATTTGGTCTTAAATTAGATTAAATGAATTATAAATTAAATAATCAAAACGATGGATTAAATTAATCGATTAATGTTCATAAGTTTAAAAAAATGTGTGTTTGGAATGGCTAATGGTTTCTATTAGGTTAAATTGTTTTGAAACGTTTAACGAGAATTGCGCTAATGACACGGATATTCCAATAGAATAATTTCATTCACCGCATATTAAGCTTTGATATTATGCACATCCCAAAACGGCTCTATTATTAATAGTATTATGGTTTGTATGCAGTGAACGGCATTTGCAGGAATTGACATCATGAAATTATTTGCTGGGGGGATGTTCGAATTAATGGGGTTGAAAAGCGTCGAAGTTTTTGTCGGTCAAGACAATAAAAAGTAAATCTGATTGAACACGGAAATTGTTGTGTATCGGCGCTTTGTATTCCCGAAATCCGGAGTTGATCATATTGGGATTTGTGAAATGATTGCAATGGGGTAATTAGTGCGAGGCTATGAGTGATAGTGTGGCGTTGTCGAGGCGGGTTAACTGGCGATAATAGGTTCCATCAGGGTGGATTTTGTCCACCCCCTATCCCCTCTTGTCCTCCGCCACACATCCGACACCCCTTTTCATCCCCGCCGCCGCTGAAGCCCCGGCAATTCCCATCTCTTTACCGGTGTACGGCATAACCGCATTCACAGCCACAAAGCTAAGGGTTCCATCTAAATCCGCCCGAAATAACAATAAATCTTTCGTTCACTATCTGTAGCTTCTGGCTTTACCACTTGTCACTATAAGGTTGCACGATCGTTCTCGCATCTTTTAACTTTTAAGATAAGTAAGATTCATTGCGGCCACACATTATTATTGCCCGACACTCCAATTCATCGGTTCCATCGAGATAGGAGGAGGGTGGTTTCCGGCTCCTTGTCTTCTCCTCAAGGATCCAAGGACGCGACCATCGAAGAATGCGCACACCAATGTGGTCGGATTTAATCGCGCCGGAAGAATTAAAGAGGTGTAAAATTCGTTGTAAAAATGTGATTTCCAACGATGATGAAGTGTGCGGTGATGGAGGCAAAGGGCGCCTGTGGGACTCGTTCCGGTTCATCCGAATGGAATCCGATGAGCAGTGAGGAGTCACCATATTTCTAGGCCCGAATACTGTATTTATCTATCATCGTACACTGTTCAATTTCGGCGATCTGGACAAAAGCCATTTTTCGACTTTCTAACTTTTCTTCAATAAATTATACTAATATTCACAT